TATTTACCACATACATTATGCTTTATGAGTACCGTTGAAGAAGATGCCATTTAGGTATGAATGAATGTGAAGAATTTTAATTTGACAACTTATTTCCGCATACCATTTCTGATTTGAGGGTTATGCTTATTAATGAGAAGAAGAGTCTGATAAGAAAACTTCAAAATTGAAGAAAAGTAGAGATAAATAATACTTTGCTTAGATCGTTTCCAAAATTTGAGTCATATAAGAGAACTTTTGAAAATAATTTTTGTTACCAGTTATTAATGCTTAGGAATGGTGAAGAAAAATGTTCTATTTAAATACGGGATAAAAAAAAAATTTGAAGAAATAAATTATTATATAACTTGCATAACCTAAAATTTTAGTCATTTTGTAAATATATTGCATTCCATTTTTTATATTAGTTAAGAATTTCATTAAAGAAATCAGTGCTTATGAACAATGAAGAAGAGCTTAGTAAGCGAAGCACAAAATTAGAAAAAAATTGACGAAATAAAAGATTTCAATACTTTTTCCTAATGTTTTTTCCTAATGTTACTTTTTCTTAATGCTATTTTCCTAATGTTTAGTCATTCAAAAATTGCTTTTGTCACACCATTTTCAAGATTAATGAAGAATTTCGAAATAGAGATCAATACTTATGAATGATGAAGAAGAACTTGATTTGAAATGTTCAAAATTTAGAGAAATTTGAAATAAATTAAATATTTGAAAATTTTGCACTTTTATTACCGATTATTTTTGAGAAATTATTGCGTAAATATTTTTGTGTACAGGGGAGAGTGAGGTCAATCATAAAATTTTTTACTTAACTATTTTTAACTTACGAAAAATCGTTTATATTATTAGTATTAATTGGCAGACGAGTAAAGTAGACTATCCTCTACTAGAAAAAAAACCTTATTTTGAATGTTATTATATTAGTTATTAACAATTTTTGACAGTCATACACTTGTTACAATTGTCCCCACTTACGGGGTCAACAGTCTTGTAACAGTTCATAAATTCAACTGAAACATAGTTAATTATACATATTATCATAGTTGTGATAGATTTTTTTATTGATCAAAATAGTAGTGATATTTTAGGAGTAAAAATAATAATGAGCAGAGACCTAAAGGGTTAAACTTTTAACTTTAAGGGGTTAAAAACTTTAATTTATGCTGTGAAAGGTGACAAATAAAATAATGCACATGCAGCATAATATAAATGATATAGGAAACTATTGGTGGTTCTTAAAGAGTTAAGTAATGGTTTGTAAACATAAGATAATTTATTTTCAGCTGTTACAATCGTCCCTTTACTTATTGTTACAATCGTCCCCTAGACGCTATTTCAGCTTCATTCGTTAAAAACAATGCTAGTTAATTAACAAAACTAATTTTTTTATTTAAGTGTCAATTAAGGTGTCCACTTACATATTCGGTTAATAATTTTTATTTGTTTAAACAAAATTACTTTGTTACAATGTAATATTCTAATACCCAAGAAAGTACTTACGTTGCGTGAAAATATCTTTCGTGATGTAACTTTTTCAAAAGTATTTAAAAATGGTTGCCAGCAGGGGTGTACATGTAGATTTATTAAATACACCTTGTGCGCCACCTAGGAACCAAATCTAGAACCAAACACTCGAAATTTTGCTCTGTTACAATCGCACCCTGTTACAATTGACCCCACTCTCCCCTACCAATTTTTGTGTAAATATTTTATTGTGTATACTGTTTTTGATATTAGTCAAGAATTCAACTGTAGTGAGAAATATTTATGAACGATGAAAAAGAATTTAATGTGGAAAATTTTAAATTCGAGAAATTTGGAGGAAATAATTCTTTATAAAACTTACCACACTTAATCTAGAAATTTTAAGTTATTTGGTAGGTATTTAAGCATGCTATTTTTCATATAAACAAACAATTTCGCTATAGAGGGAAGTGATTATGATAATGAAGAAAAACTGTATATTTTAGTGAGTAAAATAATCTTATATTAATTATTTTAAAACTTTGCATTGTTAATTTAAGAGCTTCATCATTTAATAAGTGTTTCTGTATACCGTTTTTAATTCTAGTTAAGTAATCCGCTACAGAAAAATACTTATGAAAGATTAAAGAGTTCACAATGAAAAAAAAAAATCGATTTCAGTTATTTTAAAATCATCAAGGAATTTTTCCCTTAAATTTGTATAATTTAACAATCAGTTGTAATTATTTTTAAAGCAAGGTATGGTTTCTGATCAGTGGAGCAGAAATATTTAAACAAAAAATAAAAATAATTATTGCAAAATAATATTTATTAAACTTCTTAGCTAAATCTATGTGAATCACTAAAATTTGACATAATTTATTACTTAAAAAGTAATTAAAAAAAACATATCTGCGAAAAGTGTCTTTTTTTTTTTTTAAGTAAAAAAATTCATGATTTTACTTGATTGAACAATTTGAACAATTGAAGAAAACAAAATCTTAGTCAAAAGATAAACTGTTGTGCTTATAAACTGCAGGTTACTAGCATTTTATTAGTCTATTTTTTACAACAGTTACCTTTACAGGCTTCAGAATATTTAACAAGTCATTTATTAAAGAAAATAATGTAAACATATTTTTCTGACAATGAGAGAATATTTCTAAAGTATGAAAAATTATTCAATTTAACGAAAGATATAAAACAATTACGAAACTATTTCTCTGAAATAGATTCAATAACAGTTTTCCGATGTGAGTTACGCCTTCTAAAAATTAATTAAATTAGAAATAAGTCAAGCAATATTTTAGAGGCATATTTCATTAAAAGAAAAAAGATTAACTTTTCGCAATTCCATTTTGTTAATAAAATTCCTTCCTACGCATCAATATCGTTGCTACGGTAACATACAACTCATTTAAAAGTACGGAAAAAAAATTTCAATCGAAAGACTGAAAAAAAATTTAATGTTTCATTTTATTCTCATCGATTGAAATGAAGCACTCAAGGAAGAACATCTTGAGAACTGCAACAACCACCAAGTATATAGCTTCATCAGCAAATCAAAAATAAATATTTGATTTCCAAGCTTATGTCCTTAGGCTCAATGGGGCTTTTGAATTTCCTCATTTGCGCATGCGCTTTGCCGTTTTAATAAATATATCTAGCCACTCACAGGCGACTTCAAGATGAATATGGCTGTGCCTTTGGTAATTTATTTCGGATTTGCAATTAGTGCTCCGTCTGTGGAGCAAATTAAGTTTGGTTAGGGACAGAGCTTTGGGGAAATTCCGTTGCTGCTTTGAGAAGGTATACTGGGATGTGAAATGATAAATGGTCCAATATATATCCAGTAAATGTATCTTTAGAAATTGTTTATTATGGGTGAATAATTAAGTAAATATAAAGCTACAAAGTCTCTTAATGTAATAATATGGAAAACCTCGGCAATCACATTATCATATTTCGTTTAAAAAATATATAAGAAAGACCATAAATTTTTAAAAAAAAATTTGCACTTTGTAGAATTAATTGTTTAAATTGTTGCAGAATTTGTCAATCAACAGTAATAATTATATTGATATGTTTTATTTTATTTAACTGAAAAAAATATAAAACTGAAAATGAGAAATCGATTTCCTTATACCATTTACACTAAATTATTGTGGAATAATTTGCTGATGATGTCATTAGTGTTTTATTTTATCCAACAACAAAATATTAAAATTGCAAATAAAAAAAACTGATTCTAAAACCCTCCACTGCTACGGAATTATTTGTTACCCAAAATTAATGATTATATTAATGTATTCTATTTTATTCAGCATCAAAAGTTCACAACTAAAAATCAGAAAACTATTTCTAAAATCTTCCATCTTTTATTCTTCATTCATTCATTCGTAAATTCATTCGTGTTTTATTTTATCCAACGACACCACAACAATAAAACTGAAATTTAAAAAAAAAAGAAACAATTTGTTTTCCAAAAGTAATGATTAAATTAATGATTCGATTTTATCAAACATCAAAAGTTCTCAACATAAACTCAGAAAACGATTTTTAAAATCATTTCGCACTCTACTGTTCTGTAATTAGTTTGTAATCCAAAAAGTATTACGTTAATTATGTTAAATTTCAGTTAACAATTAAATTTTCAAATTAAAAATTTGAAAACGATTTTTAAAAACCAACATTTATATAATGACTATCTTTTTTAAAAAAACGTTCTTAAATTTAAATTAAATAAGGTTTCAAGAAAATAGCAAAACAATTTTCTTTACAGATAAAGTGCAAAAGCAAGAGTTGTGCAAAAGCACGATTACATTTGACACAGCTCAAAGAAAATATGTAATAATACATATGAAAGAAGAGTTCTTTATACTTTAATATTTGAAGATAATGTCATGAAATGCACACAGTAAATATGATGAAACTGAATGAAACTGATTCTGAATTTGCTCTATCAAGTAATACTGTTTAATATTGCAGTTTTTCAACCCCGTAAGTGTATTTATTTTTTAAATTGAGGATAACTATTTGTAAAACGAAAAAAACTACATTTGTTATTTAAATTAGTGAAAATTTGGAACAATTAACGCTTGTCACATAAAAATAATTAAATAACAAGTAATTGAATTAATTACAGATATATACCTATAAAATAAATTAAATAATAAATTAATGAGCAACTGGAAACAATATCAAAAGAATACATAAGATAATTAAGGAGACATTATTTTATAAAATATTTAATGTTTAATATTGCGCAACTTTTGATAACAAGAGTACGTTTATTTGCGAGAAAAAGGAAAAAGACTTTAAAAACCAACATCAAATCTGTCATACTGTGTCTAAAAACGTAGCAATTTCCTTTCTTTTTAAAAAATTATAAATTTTTTTTTCAAAGAAGCAAAAGCAGAAAGGGTTTAAAAATCATGAGCATAACCAGTCGCTTAAAAACGTAACCTCCATCCCTGCCTCCTGTTCATTTACATTTTTTTTTTAAATGCCAAATTTAAAAAAAAAAAGCTTACCATTCAATGAATGCTGTATTGAATCACAATCTCTTTATTCCATTAATTCGCGATATTATTCCATAGAATTGGGTATTTCTTCTCCGCGATGTTATTGTGGAATAAACAGGGGTGAAAAGAAATAGCGACAGCACTCTGGATACAGCAGGCTGTCCGTTGGAATAAAAAACCATCTGCTCTATTCGCGATTTCGTGTGATTGTTACATCTTTTGAAGCTGTTACGTGGACAAGCTGAAAAAAAGAGAAAAGAAACGGTTACAAATTAGTTTAGCATAGAAAAAAAGTTTTGTTTCGAAATATTTTAATCATATTACATGGGTTCGAAATCTAAGTGACCACACTGTAAGAAAATTCCAGATCAAAATACGGTAAATAGTACAGGCACTCAGGGTGCCGGTATTTTTTAATGCAAAATTAATTTTTAACGGAGCGTATTGCGGAATTTTTACTGCATGATTTTGCTACCGTGATTTTTACTGTAATAATTACCGTAAAATTCCTGAATCACCATAATTAAAAAAATATTACAGAAAAAATTACTGTAAAATATTTTGCGGTAAAAATGGATTTTACGGATGATGCATCCAAAATGCCGGTACTTCAACTGTAACTTGATCCGGAATTTTCTGCCGTGTATGATTAAAAATAATTGTATACCATCCAGCAGTTAATACTAAACAAAACAAATACTTCCATAAGTAAAAGGTTTTATGCGTTATTTTTTCAATTTTTTAAAAATAAATTTAAAAAAAGGAGAAGGAAAGAAGGAAAAAAGAAAAAAAAAAAAAGCAGTAATAAACAGAAACTTTTTATTTTTTATTTTCATACGAATGAAAATTGGAGAAGGATTCCAATTGTTGAGTTAGCAATTTATAACTGTCATAGAGAACCTGCAGTAGTGGATTTAACATAAATAATTCTCGATTTCAATTTAAGAGCTTGATGAGAAAAAAGAAATTAAATATTGCCATCTCTTAATAAAAATGCATGAAGAAAAATAGTTAACCTACCAAAAACGATAATTAATACCTTATAAAATAATACAAATAAAATAATACAACGATAATAATGCAAATTAATATCCTCCTAAAACTAATATTATTTTTTCTACCTCAGGCAGTGAACGTTCGTTCTTCACGTAGGAAGATGTCGGAAGTGTTACTCATTTAACGTTACCCGGTGGGCACCAGTTAGCCTAAGTCACGGAGTCGAGCAACATTACCCACGCCACATTCACGCATCACATAACAGAGAACAACACTGAGAGAGAAACATCCAGGCCCTAAGAGGGATTCGAACCCGTAACCATTGGCTTCACAGTCAGGCAGGCTGACCGCTCGGCCACCTGACCAGCTGAAACTAATATAAAAATATCCATGTTTTAGAATGAAATAAAATACATTTTATTTATCGCTTAGGAAAGAAAATGTTGAAAAACATGTAGTTATAAACATTTAAAATTGCTCAAAGGACTACATGTGTCTCCAGCATTGTGCATGTTATAGTCTAGATAAGGAAATGAGCTGAATTTCATGATTTCTACTTAACACGCTAATTTTTTCAATATTTTACTTGATTTGCTCATTTCACCTGTTCCAAAATGAATTTAAATCTACTTTCTTTTTTTACAAAAGAGTATTAGTGGTATATACTTTTATCGTTAGTTGCTTTTAGCTAAAGATTAATTACGTTAAATGATAGAGTATCTTAAAAAATATTTGATTCATTATTGGCTAAAACTAAGTTTTGATCATAATTAATACAGTAATTTTGAGAAATAGGCTATGTTAAATGTTTTAAGAAAATGAAATTTTGTAATATATGTATCACAATTAGTAAATTCAAATTAAATTTTTTGTTTTCTTAGTAATAATGTGGATGATTTATATAAAACCTTCATACAATTAAATTTCTGCTACAGCAAATGATTTTTTACATACCAACAAAGAAAAAAGAAGGCAGGTGGTGCTTTGAAATAATGATGTTTTAAATCAGAGAACCCTTTCATAAAATCTGGCAAATAAAGAGAGCAGATGTTTTAAATGCGACTAAAAATAATGCTTAAAAACTCACATAAATCAGGTTTTTAAATTACATATTAATATAACGATCTTAATTTAAGTTAATCATTTCCTTTAAGAGATTCAGTTTTTTATAATGATTTAGGGAACAAAAAGTTATTTTCCTAATTGCGCATTGAAACTATTTGATAGAAAGCGATTTAACTTCCAAATAAAATTTTATCAATTAAAGAAGTATAAAAAAATGAAAGAAAATTTCCTATTATCAGTGAAATTTTAAAAAAATCGTTTTTTCCCTTTTCCAAGTGAAATACTTCATTATCTTAAGCTATATAATGTAATTGGCTGAAATTTATATTTCAAAAAACAGAAACTGCGTATTGTGCCGCCTATGAATAAAATAAACGTTTTAATGTTTCAAACAAAGTTTTTTTTAAACATATTTTGTTATACTCTATAACTTTTTCTCGGCTGATTTATTTAAAAGTTTAGCAATAGATACACTGCATGAATGTGTAGTTTCTGTTTCACATAATAAAGTTTTTTTTTTGTTTCGATCTTTGTCATTAAATAAATTACTCTTACGCTATTTTTTCTTCAATACCCTACAATCCAGTTTTAATAAAATAATACGAGTAATAAGAATTATATCATACAAATTACATGGTAAGAAAAAAGGTATACGTCTTACAAGAACTATATCATAAAACAGTATACATTTTACAAACTCTGTATCACAAAATATACATTGAGAAATCATACGTGTAATGAGAAAGGTACATGTTATTACAATTTTAAGTAATTTTGAAGGAATTTTGAAAGAAAAACTGAGGGAACGAAGCTAAAAAAAGTAAATGATTCAGGAAGCATGTAACAAGAACTGTATCATTAAACATAAAACAACATATGTTTATGAAGCACTGTATTATGAAATATTTTAAAAAAATCACACGAGTATACGTGTATCATATATATTTTATGTAAATGTATCATAAAACGTATGGGCTTTAACAATTTTTAGTAATACAAATTTACAGAAAAGCTTGAGAACGTATCTTAAGTAAATGATTCTAGAAGTGATTGTACACACTGATTCTTGAAGTGACTGCACACACTTTATCATAAATTTTCCTTTTATCATCTATTTGTTATTATTATAAATATAGTTCAAATGATGTAAAATAAATATATATTTTATTTACTGTTATTTGATTAATGAATTTACTAATGGGGCTCCAAAATTTTTTTTAAAAAATAAGAAGGTATACATAGTTTGAATATTTTGTGCTCTTGCATAGCTTAATAAGTGTACGAAAATTGCTCACAATTGTTCCATTAAACAATAAAAAAATTTTATGTTATAAAACTTACAAATGCAAAGGAAATTTTTTCCTTTTCATTCAACTGAATATATTGCGTTTAAGTTAAACAAATTTTCTGTTATTTAGAATAAAATTATGCGTATTATAATATGGCTCCACAAATTGATACAGAATTTAAAATAACTTAATTAACAAAATTTTTGATAATTAGTCAATGAATCACATTATCTAAATTTTGTCTAACCACCATAAAACCACTAACCTTATCTAACCACCTCAAAAAATATAAAAAAGAATATACTTTACATGCGTTTGATAATGTATACATAGAAAATCAAATATAAATTTATTCATAGTTACCTTAATATATCATTAATTCATATTTACTAGTTTATTTCCTAATTAACTTTTATCTTGAATTTTTTCAAGCAAACAGACAGAAGTTTTAATAAATGATATATTCCAAATGTTGTCAATGACAGTTTGTAATAAACACGAATTTCATATCGTGTCGCGCCTTCATTTGGGTGCGACATATCAATTACTTTTTAATCTAAACCTTCAGATATGTATGATAAAACAGGTTTACATTTGATAAATAAATTAAAGCAATAGTTAATAATCAATAGAATCAAATTTATCTTAGTATTTCACCATAAAGATATTTATCAGTAAAAAGCAAAACTAACTATTTTGTTTGATGCTAATAAATGATGAAATAAAACATTTGAATTGAAAGATAAAATGAAGTATCCTTTTGAGTTATCGCTGTTCATTTATCGGTGGAATGTTTTAATGATTAAAAAAGAAAAATTTAATTAAAATGTAATTCATTATTAATAATATCTTTAAAAAAGATCTATCATGTTCCATTTTATTGATATACAGTAGTTGACTACGACGCAAAACATGGCGATGACTGCAAATATATGACAAAACGAATGAACATGAAAAAAATATGAGTAAAAACTGAATTAGGAAAGCAGAAAAACACAGTTAAGTTTAATTAACCAATTTCAGAAATTTTTCTTTCTCTTTAAAAAATGGAAGAATAAAAGTATTTTTGTTATAAATTTGTTGTACAATTAGTCTTACACTTGTTAAAAATTCTGGAACAAGTTACGGTATAAAGAACATCAATTATTATTATCATTCCATAAAATCTATTTTTACCGTAACATATTATACCGCAACTTTTGCAGCAATAATTAACTAATTATAGTGATTCAATATTTCACGGTAATTATTATTGTAAAATTTTTGGCATATTATTTCTGTAATATTTAAAACATTTTTGTTTCTTAACATGTTCCGGTAAAAAGGGATTTAACGGTAAAAAATACCGGTTCACTGAGTGCCGATTCCTTACCGTTATTCGCCGGGCAATTTGTATCCAGAATTTTTTACAGTTTATATGGTTTTGCCTACTTTGAATTCATGGTATTTTTCTCCAAAAATATTCTCTTCAACAATTTAAAAATGTGGCTGATCATTATATTTCCAAAAACCCATAATCATAAGAAAAAAATTTTGTTCCGAATTTTTTCTAATTTTTTGGCATTTTACGTTGAATTTGCGATTACGATTATTCCAATTGGAACAAAAAATTTTAAACAAGTTTTTTTGTGTAATTTTCTAGTTAGTTTCTCACTAAAATTTAATATATAATATCTTATTAGCTCATTAATAAATGAAACCCTTTCTACTTTTTGAATTAACAATGATAATATTGGCACAAAATAGCATAATTTTTAACATATTTTACTCACGTATTACGTCTCTCTCGTTCAAGTAATTTAGGTACAAAGTAACGATATTAATGATAGTTAAAGTACAAAAAAGCGAAGCATATTTTATTTAGAAAATTGCATTTATTGTCTAGATAATT